CTTTTGAATGAGCAAGTGTGTGCGTTTACAAGGTTACAGTCAAACGAAAAACAAGTTGTTATGTTAAAACTGTCATGTTTTAGAATCCTCTCAGACGTAAATAGAGATGTTTTGCACCTGTGTCTTAGGCACGCCAAAACAGAACCCTCTCGGTCTGTGAGAACATTTCTGAGCTGTCCCATAACAATTCTCGCTGTCTCTAACCTATTACGTCACAAAAACACACCCCTTCTGGTCGTTTCTGACCAATGAAAAATCCCAAAAAGTGAACCGGGAAAGAGTCTTTTAAAATGTCAGTACTTCCTGGTCTACACAGACTCACGGAGTTACAGAGTTGGAGAGTTGTCAGACTTCAAGAGTTCTGTGGGAGTTCTGTAAACTACACGAGAGCTAAAGTTCTGATGGAGTGCTGTTGGAGTTCCTGACATGACAACGAAGCTCTTCCGAGTTCCATGGGATTATAACATTTTCCACTGAGGTGAATGTGTGTCGAACAGAGCCTCGCCACTACTTCTGACGGGCAACAGCCATTCTAAGGAGACGCTGGACCGGTAGCGTTAACGGAACACCATATCTGCTGATTATCATCAGAGAGGTAATGGGTCAAGTTTCCTACCAAGCGTACCGAGGCGAGCTGGGCTTCTGATGGAGAGTGTCGGTTCTGGCGAACATTCCTCCCCTCCCATTCAATCTTAACTCCCTCTAAACTTCTTCCCATCTTTAAACTTTTCTATCAAGTAGAAATTCTTCCAGATATTTAGAAATGTCTGTGTAAAATGCTCACCCACATTCATGTGGGCAAAAGATCATAGTTGTACAGTTTTATAAATGTCTGTGGTGCAGCAACGGAAAAATCATGGCCGTATGATTTTTCCTGATTGATTGCTTATATTGTTATTTTCATAATTTGCCAAATTAATGTAAATGTTTGATGTTAAATTTGATTCTGTAAATAAATGACCGCATTCATTTTGATGGGTCAAATTTAAATGACGTCTCACTTTGCATTTCCTTAAATTCAGTGCACGTTTTATTCAGTCCAGAAAAATGAGGAACTCGCGTTAAATGATGAATACATCCCAGCATCTGTTCATCTACAACTTGTTGATATTGCGCAGGATTACACTTGGATAAATCCCCACAACTCAGCCTGACTGTAATATAAGTACATTTATAAATTCTGTTTACAGACGCTCATTGTGTTTAGGCCGAATGAAATGTTTGAACTAATCAAACCCACACAGCTTAATGTTTTTCATGAATGTCCTCTGACGAAAACACGTTTCACAAATCCTGTCGCTTAAATAATATGTTTATATCTACAAAGACATGGTATTTTGTTGTATGTTTTAAATCCTCCAAGCACTTTGGAACATAAAAGGCTCTATTTTCTGGCAAACAACACTTCACCTTTTACAAAAAACCAAAACACCACATGTACCAATTTTAGTTTCATTCTTTTTTTTTCTTCTTTTCTGTTTTTAACAAGCCAAAGTCCCAACAAGTGCAGGATTCAAGGTGAGCATGGTTTATTTAAAATAAATAAATACAAATAAATAATACTACAAAATCATGATCTTAAGTTTAATCTAAGACAACGTAATAATGAAAAAAATGTTTTGACTTTTCCTTTTCTGCAAAATTCTTATGAGCAACGTTAAAGGGTCACTCCGCTTTGTTCAGTCTCATAGTCAACAATAGCTTGTACCTTATCACTTATAAATGAGACTCAGAGCACCGCAAACACAACACAACGGTGTTCAACTGAGAAAACAGCAACAAACTAAAATAATGGTGTCCACACCCATCTGGCTGCTCTTGGCCAGACTTTTTTTTTTCCTACTGAGTCCCAAGGTTTCGCTAGATGTGCATTTTTATTTTCCCCTAGTCATT